TATTAGGACTATAAGTAAAATGTTTCTTGGACAAACTTATGGTTTTCATATTGTAAAAAAAAATTAACAAAATCTAAAATAACTCCTCTTGAAAAATATCATAAAATAAAATATACAAAAAAATTATATTAATTGAATAATAGTAAAGTAAACTTAAATATTAATAAAAGACCGGTCTGGACCACGGTCCTCAACAAAAAGATCGGTCCGACAATCAGTCCGGTCCCGGTCTAAGACCGATAGGACCGGATCGTTGACCTTCACTAATTAAAATAACACAAGGAGGAATAAAATAATTTTTAATAATGTTTTGTCTATATTTTAATTATTTTTGCAAACAAAATACTTTTATATGGATGGGTTTTAATTCAATCGTCAATATGTTTCATTAAATCATCACAACACTTTACATTGAAAAATAAATTGTAAAATAATCATTCATTGATTATTGTAAAAATTAATGTTTAATTATTGTTATAAGAATGGAAATAAGAAAAAGAAATATAGGTAAAATTTAATCATAGAGCATCGCCATCAAGCGATACTTTTAAATTTAAATAAGCGATATGATAATTTAAATTTAAATAAACGATATGATAATTTAAATTAAGTAAAATTTCCATAATTATATCTGGAGAATTCACATTACAATGGAACGTTGTATTCGACTGAAACCATCCATGTGTTATTAGTTCTTAATATGTATCTATGAGATTATTTGATGCTATGATATGCACATAACCAGAGTTGGGCATGTTACTTAATAAAAGTCAACGACTACCGTTATGAAATATAAAGGCTAAGTTACTGTTAAAATATGGCATTTTATTTTAAATTAGTTTGCTATCCTTTAGCCTTGAATAAACTTCAATTAAAAATTGTTTCCTTTTTTACTCTTCTTTTGTTTTGTCTTCAATACATAAAAATTAAATAAAGTTTTTCTTTTTTTACCCTTCTTTTGTTTTGTCTTAAATACATAAAAATTAAATAAAGTTTTTCTTTTGTTTTGAGTTATTTAAAGTAAAACATGATTTTTGTACTTAGGAGTTCTTCTTACATTTGGAGTCCTTAGTAAGGTGTTCAGGTAATATAAGTTAGATAACAAGGTCCGGGAGATCGCCCTGCATCCAGAGGTATAATTAGAGTTCCGGAAAGTATAGTGGGTAGGTTTTATCTCTAATTATGTAAGATAAAACTAACACAACTCCTTTTTGCAAAAACGTTTATTTTTTCACTTTGCGCCAATTTTATTGTAATTTATAATTACGCGTTTTATTTTTCCTATAAAAGGGACAAATTTTTATACTTTAAGGATATACTTTTTATTTTAGTTTAAAATATAATTTTCGAATAAAGATATACTTTTCTTTAATTAAATTATGATATACTTTCTTTTGGAAAATAATTTTGAAGAATAAATTTTAATGTTAAATATTTTTGACGTATAAAACTTTTTATATTTGTTTAAGATCAATAAAATTTAAAGTAGTTTACGAGTAATTTATTTCTAATAACTTAAATGCCACTTACGAGATCCCAGCAAAACTAACCCCCTACCAGTCTAACCTTAACTGAAGCTTCGCAACTTCAGTTATAGTCATCAGTTTAAAAAAAAGCTAACAGTTATGGTTCCTTTATTTAGAACATGTAAAAGTTACAAATAAGCCATTCGTTACATGATTAAAAATACGAATAAGTGAAAATAGAAAAATGAGATAAAGAATTTTATTGATTCATTTTTATACAGAGTCTAAAATAAAAAGCAGTATAATAAGAAACCTAAACGAATTTATTAATGTTTTATTGTCTAATTTAATAAAAATTAAAAATGATCTTTTTATAACATTTAATAAAGGAATAATCTTTCAAATAAAACATCATTTTCGTCTCAACTTTGGTTCTTTAATCAACATGATGAATCGAGAAATAGGATTCATTCAATTTATTTAGTAGACTACAACCAGGCATGTCTGGCCCTAAGCCTGGCCCGACCTAGGGCCTATTTTAATTTCTGTATATATACCCGGGCCGAACCAGACCTAAAATTTTTTTAATACACCCGGATTGGGCCAGGCCTAAATTTTTTTTTAAATACATCGGGTCGGACGTATATTTGAAAACCAAATATTTTAAATCCTCATTATTGGCTATAAAAATTAAAAATAAATACAATATATTTTTAAAAATTACGAGCCGGGCCGGGCCTGAAAATACTAAACCTGGGCCGGGTAGGGCCAAAAAAGATTTTTGGAAAAAAATCAGGGCTGGGCCGTGCCTAAATATTTTTTTTAGAAAATCCGACCTGGAACTAGGATATGCAAATGGTTCCGCTACAGGTCTCTGAATACAACTATGGAAATAAAAAAAATCATTTTCATTGGTTCTTGTAAATTAATATAATGTATAATGTTTTTTTTAAATGAAACTTTAAATAATGTGTTTTCGCAATTTATCATCAAAATTCGTTTTTACCAAAATACCATCATTTTCTTTCTAGGCTGAAACTTTTTTAATGGCTGCCATTGTATAAAAAAATATAAACGATATATAACAAAATACCGCTATGAAACGATTTTAAAATAAAGAAATCCTATTACAGTTCTATTGGATTCCCTTGTTGTTAGCCAATACAATCAGACATTGCATTTTAACATTTAATACATTTTTATATTAAAAAAATTATTTTTGTTTAAAAAATAGTGAAAAAATGTTTAAAAAGTAACGAGAAATAAACGTTATTTTAAGTTCACAAACAAATATAACGGTTACAAAAGTTCTTCGTTATTTTTTTAAATTGGAGATATGTTGTATAACACAACGTTATGTAAATTTTTGCTTAACTCTGCACACAACTGCTTACACTAATCTATTTTTTCCAAACATCTATGTAAATTTTGAAGTGAAAGAAAATCTAGCAAATTTAAAACTAAATAATATGCTAAGGGCAAATATAGGATGCGATTAATTGGAGGCATTGGAGACCCATAAAAATGAGGCAGCTAGTAAACATTTGCCCACAAGGCCGCAACTTCGCCAGTCCGCCCTTTGGTTCACCATGATTTTTGTTTAAATTGGTACTACCTTCATAGTATATTTATATTTCGGTTTTTCCATCAGGATTCCCCAGCTATCATAACCATTTTCTGTAAACTTCCATCTTCCAATTCTTTGCTTATGTATTGGATAGTTGACTGTACTATGGAACTGTATTTTTTCCTTTCATTTCTGTGGAATTATCCTATCACTTCTGGATAAATTTCTCCACCTCAAATCACCTCAAATAACCTTGATTTATTTTGATTTCCCACCATTGCTTTGTAAAGTGGAGCCCAAATATTTATAGCTTTCAATTGCCGATACATGCCATTCATTTATGCCAGTCAATGTAAACAGTTCCATCTCCACCTATTACCTTATATTCGGGTTTCCTTTTCGTTGACATTCCATGCTTTTCTTCGATATCTATCCAACTCGTTAGTTTTTTTTTCATTTCATCCGTTTCAGCAAGTAGTACAATATCATCTGAAAATATATTTCAGGGGGTTGATTTTTGCTATGCCTGGTAAATGGAAGTGACGGGTTCAAACCTCGCAAAGGACTGTTTAATTTTCAAGTTTCTCTTAGATGAATGGTGAGAAAATATGAGTGCAAAGATAATCAGACAAATAGTCCAGCACTTGCAGTTGTGCTCCCGCATATATTGCTATCAATGATATAACCAACAATTCTTCCACACCTAATTTTCTCAAGCCCATCTAGTAACCTTCAGCTGCAAACGCCTTCTCCAAATCAATAAACGCATAACGCAGTTTTTTTCCTTTGCAAGATACTTCTCCTGTATTTGTCTCACCACAAAAATTGCATCTGTCGTGCCTTTCCCTGGTGTAAAATCAAACTGAATTCCATCAATTTTCTTTTGCTCCCATATCCGCTTCTCTAACACTCTCAAATAACTTAATAGCATGTTCTAGGAGTTTAATACCTCTATCCGCAACCTTTCTCTTTGTATACTGGAATACTCGCTGTTTTTCCTTTTTTATCTTTTTCAATATTATCTTAATTTTGTCCTTGTCAATTTGCACCCTGGACCTTTTACTTTTGCACAACTAACTTCATTATCCCATTTTCTCTTCGTTCAAAAGTTAATACCATTACTATCAATCACCATTTTTCTTCCATATTTTTCAGACATATAACACCTACCACAGTTTTTTTGCCATCCAGACCACATTTCCCATTCCTTCCGCGCATTCCACGTCTTTATCAAACTCCTGCTTATGTTATTCTTGCACTTTCCCTATTAACTTCTTGGAATTTCTCTTCGCCACATTGTAAATATCGTTATCACAATTTTCTTTACTATTATACTATTTTTTGAAATATTTCGGTTTCAGGTCAGCTTTTGTTATCTCTAGATTCCACCACCCCGTCTCCTTATGTCTAGATGACCCTTTTGTCCTTCCACATACTTTATCAGTTGTCCCATGGTTTCCCACTTGTTATTTACCCCAAATGCTTCTGCCACCTGCTCCTCTCTTATTGTCAATGTCATATTAAATTGCTGTCCAGCACTCTCCTCAATTTTTGAACCTTCAGCCTTGGCGCAAACTTTTATTTAGTGATCGTGGCGCCTTTAAAAATGAGACCTCTATTTCTACCTCCTTTCACATTTTTTAATATGCTCTTCACCCTGCTAACAAATAGTCCACAGCAATTTTAGCGCTAACCAACTTGTAAGTAACCAGCTTTTTTGATTCCTTCTTAAACATGGTATTACAAACAATCATATCCATAGCATCACCAAAATCCAAAATTCTCTCCCCTTCTGGATTTCTCGTGCTATAACAATAACCTCCACGTACTTCCTCATAACCCTCACTATTCGCTCCCACATGTTCATTCAGATCACAGGCCAGGATAATCCCCTCTTCATTTGCTAGTCTCAATGTCACCTACAGACTGTCCCAAAATGTATCTTTCTCTTCTTAAATTCTTTCAACCTAAGGGACATATGCCGTGATAATATTGCATAACCTTCTACCAAAGATTATATTGATAATCATTATCTGGTTATCTAGTCTCCTAACTTCGATTACTTTGTCCACCCATTTCTCAGCAACAAATACCCCAACACCAGCAATATCATCATTACTTACTTGCAAGAATAATTTATACTTTTCATTTGTCCTGCTAATTCTTGCGGCATAACCTTTCCATCTGGTTTCTCGTATGCAACCAACATCTATATGCCTTCTATGCAGTACATCCATTATTACTCCCACTCTCCCCGCTATCATCCCTTCATTCCTGTAACTCTTAATCCAGCAGGTTTCTCTATTTACTATCAGGTCGTTTATGGCCGTTATATGTTTCGTTTCCGCGAATCGTGGTTCCACCAGGTTTCCCATTCTTTTTTTCTCGAAGGAGGACGAGGAGACCCATGCTTAGTTGTAATCATTAGGGATCTTGGAGCAAGGCTTTTTACAATAGGATACCATTCCTGACATCAACCTCTTTAGGTGGTTTTTATACCCTGTAGAGGAGACTGTGATCCTATTCTAGACCCAGACCGGAAACTTTTTAAACCTTCATTAGCCGCCAAAAGACGTTGCCATCCCCCCGCCTCGATTAGGTTGAAGGTAGAATTTTGAAGAGATAGAGCATATATAAGCAATGTACTTGCAACGGAAAATATACTTATTATCCAACAATTTCTAATCAGTACTAGCAGCATTTACATGACAAAAATTTACTGAAGACAGACCCCCTTCCCTCTAGCTACCCCTACCCTTCAAATCGTGGCCATGGTATAACAACCCTATGATAATAATAAATAAAAATCTTCTAATGAGCTACCATTTTAACCTCCCAGCAAAATTCTAATTAAATCTCTTTCAGTCTTTATGATATAGACAAGAAATACCGAATAAACATTTGTTAGTGATAATCAACTAGTATTATACTAACAGTAATATAAAAATTATAAATTCAAACTGTACTAAAATGTTATCAATGAATTGAATATTTAAAATTTAATTAATTATTAAAAATTGTTATAAAAATCGATATAAAAATCTATAAATAATTGAGAATTTATTTAATCAGATTAATCTTTAAATAAATATTGTTTACCCTTCTAAAAATTGGAGACAAATTGCCCCTCTGTCTCTAAGTACTAGATAAACTGTAAGCGGTCGTGCACAAAATTAAATTCGAAAACTTGCAAGATTTTTTTAAAATTTTACTTTAGAAAAATTAGGGACCTCATAAGAATTCTGGGGCTTCTACAAACCCAATAACCTTACATCAATTACGACTTTTTAATAAGCAACTTGTACCCAATCTTACTTTGACTTTAGAGAATAGTTAAAGAATGTTTGGGTTACCAAACAGCCTTTATTGAGGAAAAATAAATTATAACAAACTTATAATAAAAATATATAAAAAAATGATTATACAGTTTAATTAGAAGAGTTTGATTGTTTCGAATGATTCTCATGAAGATTGATACGTTTTGTTAAACATATTTTATAATAAAATTTTTATTTTTTTTTAAATATTTTATTTTGATATAGTTTATATAGTATATCTTATTTTGTAAATTGAAATCGTTTTTTAAAAAAATTGAAAAACAAATTTGACCGAATTGTATTTGACCGGTCAAATACCTAACCATGTTGTAAATATCTGTAGATGTTAGACATAACATAACTTTAAAATATAAATATCAAATCATTTATAACGCGAGTTTTATTTTAATTTAGAAAGATATTATTTTATCGGGATCGCATTCCAGCATCCATAGAGTTTACCTACCCTGTGAATTTCACACAATTTTGCCATGAATCTTTACTTTATTCTTATTTTATATATAGATTTATTATATAAATGATAAAATAAAAATTTATTGTAATTGTCTGAAATTTACAAAGTAACTTTACTATACTTTGTACATACTGGAATACGATCCCGGTAAAATCAGATCTTTCAAAATTATAAAACGCGCTATAAATGGCTTATTTTGTAATTTACTAAAATCTCAAGACAATGAAGTATAAACCTTGATTTTGGCACTAATCAACTATGCAAAATGACAAAGAAAATTAGAGAAAAGTCCGCAAAATGATGGAAAATAACGCAAATAAGATCGTAAAATAAAAGAAAAGTTCCTAAAATGACCCAAAAAATACGAAAAATTTAAGAAAAGTAGGCAACTTGATTTTATATTATTTAATTCATTCTAATATATCAATTTAAGGACTTTTTATTAGTTTTTTTTTAAATATCAATTTGAGCTTTTCTATTTTTTTTATTTTTACTCCTTTGGCAAGCTTTATTTTATTTTTTATCCATCTTGAAAATTAAAAAAATTCAAAAAATTAGTTAAAAGGAAAAGAAATCGAATAAAATTTCTAAAAATATGAGTAAAATAAAGAAAACCTAAAAAAATGAATTAAAAAATTTAAGATAAGAAAAAAAGGTATTCAAATATCTAGATGATTTGAAAGAAAATTGAAAAGCTAAAAAATGAGGTAAAAGAGAAAAAAATCGAATTCTCAAAAATTATGAAAAATGGAAAAATCTAAAAATATATTTTACATGAAAGAAAATCGAAAAAGTAAAAAAAGTGGTAAAAGGGAAGAAAATCGAATAAGAGTTTTCAAAAAGTGAGTAAAATAAAAAATAGAAAAAGAATTTGATTTAAATTTTAAAGAAATTAATAAAAAGTTAAATAAAATTAAGTCAAAACCAGGGATTCGAACCTAACTTGGTAAAGAAAACCAGGGTTTTTGAAAAAAATTTCTGCCCCACAACCTGAAACCCGTTTATAAAATTTCCAAAACCCCGAACCGACCCGGGAATTTTTTCGAACCCGAGTTCAACCAAATTCAGTGAATATTGTTTAATATCATTTAAGATTTTTGTAAAATTGCAAATAAAATATTAATAATTGAGATTTTTTAATATTTTCAATTTATTTAAATATAAACTGTACAAATCCTTAAATAATACAATCTTGTTAATTTATAGAGTAGGATTAAACCCATATCCACGTCCATTTTATCTGAGTAAAAGTTCGGATGAAGATTTTGAACAAGATGATTTAGAAAAATTGCAACTTAAAGAAAGGCAGGAGAAAATACTTAAAAAAGTGCCAACGATGGCAGAGAAAAGTATTGGACGATAATTAATGAATTTGGCCATTTTAAAAGATTAGATAAGAAGGAAAATATTTTTCATTTTTGGGAGTCTGCTAAGATGCAGCGCTCTGATTATATATTTTATCCATAATCATATTTGCTATTTCTGCAACCTAAGTTAATTTATCATATTTTCATATGAATATATTTAATGGTTAGCCTTGAAAGATCTTTCACATTTGAAATTCATTCTTTCACCGCATATGGATGAGTGACAACTCTTGGAATATTATACTAATACGTCTAAATAAAATTTTAAAAATTGATGCATGACGATGCCTTATATTTTAAATATATTTTGCCTATAAATAAAATAAAATCTTATCTTTTATACTAAATTAAAGTTTTTTAATTGTGATTTAAATATAGAATTTTTTTTATCAATTCAAAAATTACTAAACCCGAGCTTAACCCAGAATCAAATCTAGGTTCAAAAATATCCCCTAAACTGAACCCAAACCGAACCCATTTAATTTTTTTACCTTAACCAAATCCGAACTGGACCCGGCTATAATTTTTGCCGGGTTCCCATCTCGGCAAAATACTCAAATATCAATTTCTTTTCATTTTCTGTCAATTTTGCGTACTTTCTAAAATTTGCATATTTTTTGCATGTTACGCGCTTTTCTCTATTCCGTGGTTTGGTAATGCCCCCTATAATTTTCTAAACTCTATGACATATCCAAATACTTTTTAAAAATGATAAACAAAATTAAATTAAAACCTTTTCTAATAATTAATTTTAATTGTGTAATTATTATATTATTATTAATAACATAATAAAACATTTTTCTCATTAGACTATACTTAAATAAATAAAATTGATTTTTGATTTTTCCCCGGTTTCCTATTTTATATCAAATAAATATTTTATATCTTTTTTAGTTTTATTTATTGAAAAAAGATATTTTAACATTATCTCTGATTTAGATGTTTTGAAATAAATTTCATTGAAATCATAACTTATAATATTATCAAAGTAAATTTAATTTTAAAATATTACAAAACAGAAAGTTCAAGAAAAAAATATGTCCAAATCCTCTCAATATATCCATCTCTTCAATATGTCCAACTCTAATATGTCCAGCTATAATATATCCAGCTACTTCAATAATATATCCAGCTACTTCAATAATATATCACTTCCGTTATGTGAAACACGAGACAATAAAGGATTTGTAGGGAGGACATCATCTGTTATAAATATGATTGTGAATCCGTTACTTTTAGTATCCGGGATAATTGGGAATATGGCAGGGCTTTGGGTACTTTCTCTTATAAGGAAAAGAAGCCGAACAACAAATCATCTGTATTATTATTATTTGCAATGGATAGCCTGGTTAAATCTTATAACGTGTATTTTTTATTTTTGCAGAGTGGGTGGAGATTTAAGAAAATTTATTGCCTCAAATCAATACACTACCAGGATAAGCTGGATTACATTTAATTCTTATTATAGCTTGATATTTATAAATGGTTTTTTTGGAGCATCTATTTTGATTCTTTGTCTCTTGCTTTGGGATAGATTCATGAGTCTTCATAGTCCTTTTACCCATATTGAAACTGTGTCAAGCCAAAGCCCGAATTCGCATTATAAATTGCTAAAGAACTTGCCTTACTTTTTTACAATCTTTTCTAATGTATTATGTTTTTCGAGCTATTATTGGTACAATGTACTGTTTTGTTATGGAACAATGAATCAAACAAATTATAATAAGAAAGTGGACAATCATTTATATTACAATAGATCCTATAATTTGAGAAAATGGATAAAATTGTATTACTCAAAAAGGGTGTTCAGTAATTCTTGGGTAGAAAAATATGATTGGATGAGGATTCTTTTAATATCGGTTCTTCCTGGTTTCTTTATATTGTATTACGGATTTGGGATTACCTTCTACATATTCAAATTTTTAAGGGCCCGAGAAATAAGAGGCAGTAACCTGGGTAATTCTCAACTGATTAACATAACATTCAACAGGAACGCCAACCCAACAGAAAACAGTAGCAAGTCGGAAGTAATTGCTAACAAATCACACACGCGTGCCTTTGATAATAATAATAAACTCTTCCTGATTGACAGGGCAAGTTTAAGAAATAGCATATTTAGGCGCAGAAACACTATTAAACCAGAGGAAATAGAGAATGGAGAAAAAGGATCTAATCAATTACATCTAAATGTAAACACACTCATGGTAAATAAAACAAATTCCAAAATTTTAGCACGCAATTTATCGGCTCTCATATATTTTATCCTATATTGTGTTTGCGAAGTTCCTAATATTATGGTGGTAACAATGAAAGGTAATCCAAAAATAGACCGGTTACTAGACATTTCTAACATGTTGGAGATGGTATTCTTCACATCCATTTTTTATATTTACATGTCTTTTGATAAAAATTTTCAATGCCAGATAGTGAAAATATATAATAACCTAATGGCTGGCAAACTGATAAACATATCTAACAGGGAAACTATGATAAATTTTTAATGAACTTATATAATTAATAATTGATGTTTTTTGATGGTTATCAGTCAGGGTATCATTTCCCACATTTATATAAGCTTGTAGTTATTCTGTTTATGTGATTCGCTGTAATTGCCTTTTTTGCAACTGTGATATATTTATTTTATTTGATATGGTTCTCTTTAAATAAATATTTTATGCGATTTATATTTTACTGCTTATAAAGTTATTAAAACTACAATAAAAACATATTTTAATTAGTGCATTATAACAAATTCAGGCAAGTGAATAATATCTCACGCATAAAAAAGTAATATAGTTAATACAAAAGAGTAGTCTCAATCATGATGGGTTTTTCGCACACGAATCTCATAGGTCTATCGCAGTTCAGGTCGTCCCATCTAAAATAATTTTGAGCTATCATAGCCACGCAGTCTTGTTCAGCCTCATTGTTAGGTTGATTTTGAGCCCAATTGGTATAGGTCAAAGCAGTATTATCAGCGTTCCACACAAAAGTTCCTTCCTTTGCCCTGTCATTAGCCCCGATCCATATACCAGTTAAAAGTCCATCCGAAGCTTTCAAAATATAAGAAATTTTTTTTTTATTATAAGATGAGAGAAAGGGGGCATAAGATTAGATCAGCCCTGTGAACATATAAAACTTAATATTTAATTTAAAATTGTAAAATGAGATGAATATATACAATAATAGTCTATTAAAAGAAAGAAAAAAAGACAGAAAGTTATATCATAGTTTGATAAACTAAACAGCATCGGTAGAATACTTATTATAGATTTAGTATCTAATTTTTTGTCCTTTCTTGAATAATTTTATTTTTTATCATCTTTACTTTTGTTATGTTTCCTTCATTTTCTTTGTCATTTATTTCAACTTTCTAAAAATATTTGTTATTTTTAATTTTTTAATTTTTTAATCAATTTTCTCTATTTTCTCTATTTTCTCTATTTATTTTATCATTTTTTAATCATTCTTTTTCTATTTTTTTTATCATTTTTTAACCATTCTTTTTCTATTTCTTGTCACTTGTTTTTTTTAAAATCATATTCCATTTTTTTCCTTTTTATTTGTCCTCTTGTTTGTCTTCTTTTTAAAATTTTATTCACTTAATAGAGTATATCTATTAGAGGTCGGTGTAGCCCGTCCGGGCCCGAAAGTCCGGCCCGATTTTTCTCGATATTTTTGCAAAATCACACCACTTTGAATATGAGTACTGCAAAAAATGGAGTACGGGAAAAAATCGATAATAGACACTAATGTCTCTACGTGCACTTACTCACCACTTTTATAAAAGAAACTGTTATAATATTATTATGGATAAAAAATATTTATGTGATAGAAGAGGAGGTTTAAAATTTCTTTTGAAATTATGTATTCTAGTTTGATGAAATATTAGGTAATATAATCAAATTAAAATATTCTGATATATAGATACTTAATATTTTTGTTATACAATCATATAATAATCACATATTGTAAATGAGTTTATTTTCCAAAACTAGCTTTTTTATTTTAAGAAAAAAATATTCTAACATGTCCCATTCCTTTTAGCTTCGGTTTCCATTATATATAATTACTATGTAGAGAATTATAAAAAATTCAATACATATTCAAAAAGAGAAGAATATCGGCTAAAGTAAGCAAATATTTGGTTAAAGTTTTTGATATTGGAGACAATTTCGTAGATAAAAACTGTTCGAATATAATAGGAAAAATAATACATTTTATATATAATCCCAAATTCCCTCGAGAATTTTGAAATAAATTTATATTAGTATCAATATTTTTTTTCAGGCATTTCCTTAATTTTATCACTTATCCAGCACGCTATTTATAAAATTTGATCTGGGTTGGCTGGAAATGTATTTCAGCGTGAATAACATACATACCATATGAATTTCATACAACATTGTAATAAAATTTTGAACCACTTCTAATTTATATGATTCTTCCTTATATTTTTCATATAAATTAAAGGTATCACTCAAAGTTCGCCAAAATTGCTTGAAACACAGAACACACTATATGCTGGAATACATTTCCAGCTAAATCAGATTTTTATTTAATAAAGTATACCTAATATATTATTTAAAGTTTAAAAAAAACACATTTGAGGAGAAAAGACATTGAACACGAACATAAATGTAAATTTTTTATTATATTGATATTGCAATCTGATCAAGAACAGATCAGAACAAATCGTTCGAAATATTCGGATTTCTTTTATTAGATTAACCTAATAAATGATATGTCAGATGAAACAATTGTTCAAAGGTCTCAAACTATGCCGAAACCCGTTACCAAAGAGAAATGATAAGGACATAGATGCTTATTTTTTACGAGAGCTTAAATTTTTAAAATCAACTACAGTGTCGATATATATGTTATCTTCCCGAAAACTTTTATTTGTTTATATTGAGTTAATTAATAGAAGGTTATCACTTTTAGAGGTTTTACCAAAATAAAAATAGCTTTCTCTTTGCCGATTTTTCCTCCAATTACCCATAACCCCCCCCCCTCCACCTCTATCTCCTCCTCCATTTTTCTCGCACGGAAACCTTTTACTTGCAAAAAAAAGTTAAAATGATTATTTTATTTTTTAACCCCAGTATTCAATATATTAAAAAGCGCTCTAAGGTTATATTTAGAAAATTATCACTAATACATAATTACTTTCAAATTACTTTTAAAATGATATAAATAATCTAAAGATTAGCAAAAGAGGCGTAAGTCGCCATGTAGAGATTTACTGATTACATATGTTATTTACTCGGAACTTGTAAGAGCCTCAGGTATTGGGAAATAAAAAATTGTTCGTATTGATCATCGACCTTGAGGAGTTCAGCTCCTTGGTCTCGACATTCTCTCTTAGCGTCGGGCCAAGTTAATTGGTTAACTACGTAAAAGCGGTAGCATCTTTCCCCTAACATTGTGAAATTGGCAGGGCAAAAAAATGTTACTATAGGTTTTATCCTCGGGGCTTTAAGATAAAAGATATTAATATATTATAGATTTTATAAGAACGGTATATAATTTATTTAACTAATTAGTTAATTAGTATGCCTTATATCGTAATTAATTTTTCGGTATGAATTTAATTTTGTAGATTAACATAAAACCTTTTTAAAAATCGATAAAATATAAATATAAACTAAAAGACAGAACCATTTCCATAAAAGGAACTACGAATTGACACCTAATATGATATAGCAGGATAAAATACAAGGTGCTCATATATTTATTTCAAGTGGTGGCATAATACAATATTTATTTAATAAGGCTATCAAAATGGCTTTGTTAATTGCTGAAAAACATTTCGTGGGCTCTGTTAATAGTATATCATATAAGTTAAACTGTTTGAATGAAAGTTTTAGTTATATTTGTTTTACCATATATCAATGCCAAATATTTGCTTCTTCTATAAAATTATTTGTTATATCGTTTATATTTATTGTCTGTAATATTGTATTTTTTATGATAATTTCTCCAATTAACTCTATGAAGTTCAAATAATTGCAAAGATGCTTCGATATCATCTAAGAGGGATTTAAGCGAATATGAATCATTTAATTTCAAGTACAATTAAAAAGATTTTAATTTACAGTCCTTTAGGGCAAAGAAATTGCACGACTGTGTCTCATGCTAGAGATAACTAGGTTGGTATTTAGACCTATACTAGAGCCCCATAGATCAATTCAAGTGTGAATTCAATCCGAGACCTATCCGACCGAACTAGGATCGGTGGGACACGGACAAACTCTTTCTCAAACTCAGTTGGACTCTAACCATGATTTTAAAATTTATTATGAATTCCAACTAATTCCATATCCCACTAAGAAATATATAACTATTTTAAATGCTATATTTTTAATAAAATCATTTTTTTAATTAGCTCTGCATTTTACCACATTTTATAAAATTTTCCTTTCGGGCACCCTTGTAAAGTATGTAGGTTTCCAGATATATCTTTATTTATCTAAAAAGTTATATTAATATATTAAAATTAACAATATATTTAATTTGTTGAAATTACAAATATATTGAAATTATCATTATATTTGCTTTGTTGAAATTAAAAAATATATATTTCAGTTACCTGCAGCCCCTGCCCAGAACCGGTTGGAAACGGTCCAAAGTAATACGATTTTAAAAATCCAGGTCGGGCTTAAATAAAAAATTAGAAATTCGGGTATGGCTGGTTTAAAAAAATTAATTTAAAATAAATCAATCAGTTAGAAAGTAAACTAATGGAGGGCTTATATTCATTTACCTGCTCATATTTTCCATTTCCCTTTAAATCAATTTGCTAAACAAGGCCAGAATCAAAATAATGAAATTTCAAAAATTCCTGGAAGGCAGTTAAATAATAAAAAATTCAGGCCAGATAAATTTGACCTCTACAGGTTCTTGATATTTGAAAATATTTTACATTCTACCCTTTCTCTAATCATATAATAGAATAATAATAAATTTAAACAAAATATAAATTATTTACTGTTTTTAAATTAAGCATTTTAATCTATATAGTTATTATGCTTAGTTTTCAATTTCTAGGAGGATTACCTACAGGCCTAGCAAATGATTGTTGGGCAGGTACATAAAAAAGTTTATTGAAATAATGAGTCTCCGGGATAGTTAGAGGGTTAAAACTATCTTTCTTTGTATCTTTGCCTCTATTACGTGGATTAGCAGGGGGAAACATAAATATAGAAGGTTGTTTAGCCGCATTGTAAGATACAGGCCTATTATTGGCATAATCTTGTCCTGTATTAATGACTGGGTAGGTTTGTTGAGGGTAAGACTTACCATTGAATGAAGATTTAGAAGGTAAAGTCAATTCCAAATCTTTGTATTGAAATCCACTTTTAGTCCCTGTACTTCCGTAGCCTCCTCCTTTACCAAATACGTTTGATAATTGTGGTAAAAAATTCAATAAGTTTGGGGAACCTTTACCATTTATTGGTATAATCTGGGGTGTGTTGGGAAGTCTTTGATTATTAAATCCGCTTATAGGAGGGAATACGTTTTTATTTGATGAGTCTGATGAAGAAGTCAATATATTATCCAGCAATCCCTTGAATTGTGGCCTTTGCCATAGTGAACTCAAGTCATATCTCGACTTAAACCCCGCTTTTGTAGATTTTCCGGAAAACTTTCTTCCTGGATGATTACGCCCCGATGGAGAAGGAAACATAGACATAATAGGAGGATAGGGATCTTTTTGAAAAGGTGGAATATATTGGCCGTGGTTAGATATACTTTTTCTTTCATTTTCAAATTCAAACTCACCTATATTTTCTACTGGATCTATATTAGGAGATTTAAATGAGTGAGGTCTAGACACTCCTATAGATACACCTCCATTATTAGGGTTATTTAAATTTGTGTATCTATTTAAGCCTATATCGGGTTTTGGATTATTAAGAAAAGGCCACAATGCTCTCGGTGGCAATTGAGGTCGATTAGGGTCGTTATTATTTCCATCATCAGAGTCAAAATTATTCCAAGAGGGGTTAATCAAAGAAGGGCTGAGATCAATAGGAATTACTGGCCCACTACCTATTGGTATATGCGTTTTAAGGACTGGATAAGCTGATCTGTCATAATTAGTTGGCTGGTGAACTTTTTGTCCACTATTCAGTATTTGGGTATTAAAAGAGTAAGGATTGGGTCTCATTATCTGGTCATCAGTGTATTTTCTGGTCCTAACTCGAGAGTTAATATAATTACCCCCGCCTCCATCAAATCCATCCGTAAAGAAGTCGGACGTAGTTAGTGGTTTTTTTTGAAAGTCAGAAATAGGTACGGATCGAGAACTATTATCACTTATAGGAAAATATCTTGAAGAAAGTCTCTTAAAATAATTATAATTAGGTGAAGATTTATGATTTTTCGGATATTTAACCATTATTCTTTTATGAATCGGGGCGTTGTGTGTTTTTTTTATATATCTATCATAATAATTAAATTTTGATTCCTGATAGGCTGAAGGTGGATTTAGACTATTATCATGAATGTTATTTTCCCTCGTGCGATAACTATAAGGAATATTTCTACTTAAGCGAGGAAAAGATGAACTAACACCAATGTCAACGTTATGTAATTTATTATAACGCCGAATTACCTCTTTATTTAATCCACTTTGATATAATTTATTGGATCTTTTTGCCAAATTTACAGATGTATCTATTCTGGATATTGAGCGTTTAATGATTGAGAAAAATTTATCGTTTCTTTTATTAATTGGTAATGAAAAATAATTCTTTCCAATACGATCCTTTACATTAGGTAATATAATCGCATGTCTATCATTGTTAATTTTGGAAGAATTTAATCTTACGAAATTATTAATTAAGATAAAAGTAAAAATAAATATTATTTGTTTAAATTTATTCAAATGCACCCAAAGAGTCCCTAAAAAAGCACTTTTCATCGTTAAAATGTGTTTCAATTATATTTAAACATTTTTTATAAAATTTAATCGTTCTCGATTTTTGTGTAATATTTTGTGGAGAGAAAAAATTATAACATTGTAATTAACTTAAATTTAGATCAATTATATAAGTGCACATCATAAATAAGTTAAACATTGAATCAACTATAACCTATATTGAAATACATTTCAAAATGTTCCTTAAAAATAATAAGGTAAAAGAGTTTGTGGCATAAATATTTGGAGATACTTTGTAAACAAATTATGATCTAATAATAAATTATGCCAATGTGTGTTAGGTAAATACCAAACTAATACCTGTGCTAAGATACTTTGATATGACACTAAAGCGTTATATGTGACATTATATAAACTTAATTATACAAAGTTGATTTACCTTTTAAGCCTACGGAATAAAAAACATATTATTTAGGATTAATCTGAATTTGATTTTTTTCTTCAAATATAATAAAAATAATTTCCAATATTTATAATATATGATGACTTACATAGGGTTTTTTAATCGTTCCACCTCTCCCGATATTTCCTAGTTAACCAATTCTTATTTCGCAAAATTATAAAAAAATAATTTTTCTATATACCTGGTACCTACACCAAAAATGACGTTTTAAAAATAAACTTTTATTAGGTGATGACTGATTTATCATCTATAAGAGCAGAGTTTCTAGTCCCCTCACCCGGCGCTCTCTGCCAGAGACTCCTCAATATTTTTCTTATCACGTAAATAACTTTCTACCGCAAATCTCCATTTTTGAGCTAGTAGTGAATTTTTATTTAATTTAAATACTAATGAATAGGGGAATCCAGGGCACGTTGAGTACAGGGGAACATTATCCACTCAATTATAATTTAAGCTATTTAATAAGACTGGGCATTTTAGATTATTATGGATAATTACGTCATACATGATTGGCTAAAAAAAGGTTTAAAAAATATTTATTATTTTAATTTTTACAGCGGAAAATATGCCTTAACATTCCGTAAGCAACCAAAAATAACTTTAAACCTAGGTAGTTTAGACCCTATTTTTTAATTTGACATTTTTTTAGAATCATAAAACATGAATTAATATGATTCTGAATAATATTTAAAAAGTTAGTGGGCTAGGTCATGGTTGGTCATAGTATAGATGGTCCTATAAATTATTTCATAATAATTTATTATTGCAAATAATTTCTAATGAATTTTTATCAATCGAAAATATTAATTTCTAATATAATATACTTTATTTTATAATTCTAAAAAAACTGTCAGATTAAAAAATAGGGTTTAATCTTTCAATCTAAACTATAATTTGCAATTTTTTGTTACTTTTTATATGCTAAACACATTTCCCTCTGTAAAAATTAAAATACTAAATATTTTTCAAATCTTTTTGTAAAAAGCATGATTGACCCTTGTAATAAAGAAAAATGTATAAAAGTTCTAAATAAAAATATAATCCCTTTAATGCTCTGTATTAATTTAAAATCAAAA